ATTCAAAATAAGTGGAGTACAACTTTTGTTTTGGTAACACAGGCCTACTGATAAAACAAGCGGAATTCTTTTTAGGGGGTAACACTTAACTTTAGTGGGATTCGAAAGTAGTGGTCTATACCATCAAAATCAATGGCCACGTTTACATGCACGAATTACCCTGTGCTCATGGGCTGTACATAAAGAGACAGGCCATCTGTAGTCTGGTAACCCCAGTGGTAAACCTATGACCCTGCATTTCACATGCTCCCACGTGAGGTTGGTAATGGGCCACATTTGGGACGTGACCGACTACACAACCTTCAAAGTCCCTACGGAGTCCCTAAAAGGTTTCGGCAGAGCCGGGCTGTCATCTGATCTTCTCTAAACCTTACTCATCTGGACAACAACAATGGCGCCCAGCTTGGCCTGCCCCTAAGGACGGCTGGGAGGCTGAGATGGCCCAAGCAGTGCAATTAGTAGACCCTGTCCAGACTCTAAGACTCGCCAATTCTGCTGCTTTCTAGCTGCAGATGGAGACTTATAGAAACAGAAAATTCAAGGCAAGCCTAAGAGAGGCTCTGTGGATCCGCTCCAGACCCCAGGTGAGGTCCTCAAGGCCATTCCTTTCAGTGGACTGAGATCCTGAGGCGCTTCCTCCTTAAAACGACAATGCCCAATGCCCAGCACCGGCACCTCGGGACCTGTGCCCCTACCCCCATATATTCAACCAGAAGGCCCTGCAGTCTTCATTCCAACGCCTTCAAAAACAGCAAACACTCGACAGAGTGGCACCATTCCAAAGCTGAAGAAAATGTTCTTCACTGTGACTTATAGAATATGGCACTCCCTGGGAGGCAGGCGAGCATATAGGCCCTGGGTGTCAAAGAGTTTGAACCCTGGGTGTGCCATTAGCTAGTCACATGACAGTTCTTCTATGCCTCAATTTCCCTAAGAGCAGTATGAAGATAATAATAGTACCCACTTCGCAATGCTGTTGCTAGGACTAAGTGAACTGCTGTGTGCTGGACAGAAGCATTTGCTGTTACTCTACAGCAGGCAGGTGGTTATGCCCCACCCCACCCACCTCTCTGAGAATAACATTATCACACTAGGCCCCCAGGAGAGTCAGAGCAAACCAGTTTTGTCATGTACTGTGATTAAACAGGATTATTATTCCCATTTCACAGGTGAAGAAACCAAGCTTGGAGGTAGTAGGTTAAATTTAACCTACCCCAGGAGGTTCAGGAATCTTACCTGTGTGCCAAGGAGATTCAAACCCACGTCTGTGTGGTTCCAGGGCCCAGCGTCACCACATCAAAATGCCCAGGGGCAGCAGCAGTAACAAAACACACCAAGCTATGGGGTTTGTGCTCAGTGCTCTGCCTGGGCCCAGCTGGCCACCTCACATGGAGTCAGTATCAGGCTACTCGAACTCCACCGGGCAGAAAGTCAGCCTGGAAAACATCATGCGCTGTATTCCAAAGGTCAAGGAGAAAGCTGGCTTGCAGAGCACCCATCCCCAGGTCCTGACAGTGAAGGTTCCAGCAGACACGGAAATGCAACCAGTGAGGTGCTCCCCACCTACGGCCTTTAAAAGTCCCAGAGAGAATGCCAGCATCAGAGGACGCCACAGGCTGCCTGGCTCTTTAAATCAAGCCAGAGAAAGACACTTCATTTTTTTTTCTAAAGCAATCCTCATTTCCTCTTTCAATTTAGGGTCACATTTACTACCGTAGAGGCCTTTCCCCAGGCAAAAATAAGAGGGGAAGGAGCAAGGGGCACTCCGCTAGCCTGCAGAACGCTGCAACACCCACCTGAACCGGGAGCTCGACCTACCTTCGCGGAGAGCCCAGCCCCGGAGGGCGTTTCCTCAACGCAGCGCCAACTCGTCCCTCCTAAGAGCCTGCTGTCCTTGGCTTCAGTCAGGGCCGCTGGAGTCGCGTGCGCGACCCCTCTCCCACCACTCCCCAGCCAAAAGAAATCTCATTAATCTCCCCCACCGCCCCCCCCCCCCC